ATCAGGTTCATAAATGAGAGAATAAAGCTTACAACATTCTGAAGTTATTTCTTACATCACTTTATTACAGTAGTAGAATATTAACTCAATTGATTATAACAGCGGAATATAACAATGTTATCAGAGTTACAGAGGAAACAAAGATTAATTTAATGACATGGTGGAGTATTAACATAGTGGACATTTATATACAAGGACTGCTAGAAGATTTTACATCTTTTCTTATAAAAAACCTTTAGTGAGGGTTATAAATAACCACTACGGTCGTAGCATGAAAGGAATCCTCTCTGAGCCCACCAGGAGGTTTTCACACACAAGAGTCAGCTCTAAGTATCCTCCGATCACCTGCAATAGGGGAAATAAAACCCTGAGTACTCGATTATACTCAGCAAGACTTACCCGACGGGAGGGAAATAAAAGACTCCAAGGATATGCAAGGCTTATTTGGCTTGTGGGTTATTGCATCTGCGGAAGCATTACTAAACGTGCGTCCTTATATTAAATTTTATTAGCAGTCATCATTAGTTCATTAACTATCCATTCTATGTAAGCTCCTATGCTACTTTCAAGCAGGTGGTGAGCAATCAAAACCATTTTATCACCTTTGAAGTTCCAGTTCTTACTACGGTGCTAGACCATAGCCAAGTCGGTACCGTCTCACAGAAACGGCGATTCGCGAACCAATGTATCCCAGCTGGGTACCTCGAAACACACGCCCGTTTGTACCCTGGGCACAAACAAGACCAACCCATTCCACTCCTATCACAGGGTCTAGGTCCCCGTCCAAACTTGGACTCCAAGCCCCCACACTTGAGACCCGGTCTCAGCATGGTGCTTAGACCTCCACCTTTCTCTACCTCCAATCAGTCGGTCCGGAAAGAGCCGGAACCCATAACAAGAGCGTAACGAGCCTTTTCACTCCCGTAAGCAAGTATGTGCTCAGGATAATAAGTCTGTGACCTGACTACCATCCACAGCAATGGACGGTCCTCAATCGACACAGGCGGAACAAATGCAATCCGAGCCTCACTCGAATGCCTAACCAAGTCCAGATCCAAAGTACCTTTCCACCCGGTCTCCAATTATCATCCATATATATTCCATGTGATAGTAATATAATAACAACAATAATATCTTTCCTATCTCTCGCAAGTGATAGGTAATCACTCGACTTCTACTGAATACTATAGCATAGCCATCTACACAATTCTGACATACTAGTAGGACTCATAGGATAAGGATATATATAAAGTGGTTTTCATTCAACTCCTTAAAACTTAATGCACAAGCATAAATTAAAGTGTATAATAATAGGGGTTATGCACCGGGGCTTGCCTGGGTAAGATATAACCAAAGGTTGGCATTCCATTGGTGACACTATCATCAAGGCACCATCTTTTCCGCTACTTCGGTCGACTCTATGATCCATCGTTGTTCCTATTATGATATACGTGGATGCAACACAGAGATGTAAATAATCAACGGCAACTATAACTCTAAAATACGATTACGCTCCGCAAGCTAACGAACTAGCTTTAATGGCTAACGTACTAGTCTACATATCCATGTCGTCAAGTAAGGCTTTGTCTCCGGAAAAATATTTTAGTCCTACAATCCCAAAGGTATTTCGGCATTTTATGGATTAAATATATATTTTCGAACTAGGGCTCATTTAGCTACCTTAGCAAACTAATTATTATGGAGCTACAAAAATTACAGTGAACACCTAATAATGTGAGGAATTTACTGTGAAAGTTTCAGAGCCAACACTATTACCAATTTATCACAAAAATTCCTACAAGTTTATATCTTACAATATTAAGCACCTCAATTTAATTAGATAACGCCTGAAAATATTATAAAACTATGCGAACAAAATATACTAGCAGATAGATCATGATTTTAGGAACTGAACAAAATTGGTTTCACAATTTTTGGTTAACTACACAATTTTATACTGAATTTACAAGTTTACCTTAGAAACTAAATTAAAATGCATTAGAAAAAGAAAAGGGCCGACAGCAAACCATTCTGGCCTGGCAGCCCAGCGGCCCAGCGCAGGTGCGGCCTCGCGCGGGTCGCGATGGCCCAACATGGCCCAAGGCCGGGAGGCCCGCGCGCAACAACGGCTTTGTAGAAAAGCCCATGTGCTTTTAGATAATAACATTACTACTATGCGCACTATTCCTACCGTCAGTAATCTTGCAACCAAACCCTCGGATGTTTTCACCTTTACCACGGGGAGGTCCCTGGGATCCCCGCGTGCGCTGGCGCGGCGGCCGACGTTATAAGGCGGTTACGCCGGGCAACCTAGGCGTGCTACGACGGGAGTAAGGGACCGACCACCATATATAGCTAAACACGCAAGGATGGGTGGCGGTTAGGGACTCGGAGGCGCACTGTCACGGGCTGCAGCGACGAGCGGCTATCCGCGACGACGACGCGACTGTTCCGACGACCTAAGGTTCTATCGAGGTGGTAATAGCGGGTAAGCACCAGTAGCTCACCGGAATTTGTGATGTGGTGATGGTCGAGGCGGACGAGTGCCGAGGTGGCTTAGCCACGTGCGAGCCGCCAGGGCGGCGGCGCTCCAGGATGGACACCCATGCGTCACCACTTCTCCAGCAAGCGCCCTGGCAAAATGACGCAGGAACCAGATAGAGGAGGTTAAAGTGAGCTCGTGGATACAAACAATTGAACCCATTCGGGCCTTGCTCTAATTTCACTAGCACGGCGGCGCACCTGACCGGCGGCGAGAAAAATGCCAAATTGGCGGCCAGTAGTGCTTGGCCGGGCATGGGGAAGATGGGGCGCCTAGTTGACTTATTATGCCACCTACTGGTGCGAGGAATCGAACTGTGAAGCCCTGAGCTAGGCAAATTGGAGGGCGGAAAGGCAGAGCTCAAGCCATGGTCATGCCGTGAAGAGGCACATGAGTGAGCACAAGCGGATTAAGATAGGCGGCTCCGATCGATAGCTGCAATACAAGCACATGCACACAGGTGATGAGACAGTGGCGGGCTTGGCGCGACGTGCTTGAATTGGAGCGGCCAGACCCAAACAGGGCTCACCGGCGACGGCTAGCGGGGCAGGGCGAGGCAAGGAGGCGTCCCATCACCATTGTGACCGGGGTCATCGGCCCAAGCGTGACGAGCAGTGGAACACACTCGGGGGTTCCGCGCAGTAGGTGGATCAAAAGGTGAGGCGAGCGCCACGTTGGCTGAGCAACGACAACCGCATCCTAGGCTTACCTTGCACGCGGCATCGCGGCCAGCCACCTGAGCACGATGCACACGTAGTAGCGGGAGCCAGGCCGAAGCCAGCCGGGACCGGCCAACGCTAGGCCGTAGGCGCTGCGCGGCATCACCCGGGCGCGCGAGCTGGCCAGCGGCAGCAGCCCGGCGCCAGCAACGCCCATGCGCGTGGAGACCGTGAGCTCAGGCTGAGAGGTAGCAACTGGTGATGTGCACGCATTTTAAAGCAAAGCAAAAGCTGCTAACGATCACGATCGATGTTCAACTAATTCCCTAACCTAGAGCCGATACTAACACCCAACTGGCGAAGCAAACCTCACGTCCAGAGAGCGACCAGAGAGGAAGAAAGGGAGGTGCAAACATGAGTTCGTCACGCTGAACGCCGGTTCACGAACCGAGCACCAAATCATGGTTCACAGCGAGTTCTAAGGAGGTTTGGGCAATTTTTACGAGAGCAACGTGACATCCAACACAACTTCGACCTACACCATGCTCAAGTGCTTACTTTGATGCAATCAACAATACCAAAACATGCAGTTAGTGTTTAAACATTTTTGTTAGAAATTAAATGTTAAAATAGCATTGTCTTACTACTTTTCCCATACATAGAAAAGTTAAGGTTCAGTTCGAACTAACAGCCATTAACACTTTTGTTACAATTTTTAAAAGGCCTAAACCCCGTTAACTGCTACTAACAAGTATTTCATGCAATAGTCCATACCTTATACTAACCCATAGAAGCAAAATATTTAAGCACCATTTAACTATTTTGCTCAATATAATTCACCAAAAATGGTATTTTAAACAATAGTTCAAATGACTTAACGAAAAGAGCTTATCTTAATGTCAAATTTGATTTTTGAGCTCCCAAGAGCACTAGTTAACACTATTTATTTTGATTTTTTCCCAACCACAAAAGTGAGTCACATAGAATTTGTTTATCATTTTACGTGCGTTATAAATTTTTAAAACCCGAAAACTTTTTAGGCTAATCCCTCTCGGACCTAAATCTTGGTGCTAAGCAAGCTCGTAACACCAGGGGTGTTACATGAACTCCCACCGGTCACGGTGGCGGTGGGCCGAGCGTTGAAGACCGAGTTGTCCGCGGCCGCTGCACGCAGGCGGGGGGAAGCGAGCAATGTTGTGCTTACATCGCGGCGGCGTGTGGTGGATGAGGAAGGATAGGACAAAGCAGGAGAGGGAGTATTTTTGACATCTCCACTCGTCGGGCCCACACATCAAAGCTGACAAACGGCAAAAAACTAACGGAAGGTGGATGGAATGGCACAGAGGGAAAAAAAAGTTTCGAGCAGTAACACCTGTGACCGCTCAAACTTTTTTAAAGGCTTGAGGGTAATTACAAACTTTTATAATGGCACACGGCTTTAGAAGTACCACAATTATATCTCACTCTTCTACGTAGTGTTAGTATGGGCATAGCATAGCACTGCGGCTGAAGTGGTTCTAGGAAATAAGAAAAGGTAACCTTTTGCCGATAAATACATGAACCCTTTCGGAACATAGCAGGTTCATTGTTGTAGTTCATTTGGAATTGCTGAAAAAGCAACTCGTTTTTATCTTTAGCTAATGTTCCCTGCAGACAAAACTAAAGCAATTAGAGAATGCAGGCAATGAGACAAGTATGGAAGCATGGAAGATAAAGGGAAAAAGAGTTTAAATAAAAGTATTAATTTTGAAAGAAGACCTTCACTATCTCGGCTTCCTTTTCACTTTTTCCAGATTTCACTAGCACCCAAAAGCATGTATTGTATTGCATTGGTTACCAGCATGACCTGAAAATTAATGGATATAAATGAGCCAAGCTGTTTTTGTTCTTGTGGTTTCTTGAACTGATGGAGTAGCAAAGCTCTTGCAGTTGGATATCTTAAAAAAATTAATGGGCATAGACATAAACAGCATATAGCTATACAAGCACTGAAACCTAGTTCATTCACACTAATTTAAAAGAACAAATAAATTCAGGTGTATATAACTTACACTCTGCTTGCCTCCATGACAAGTATTCACATACGATCTTTAATTTTGGATAACATAGAGCTTCTGCCTCAAAGCGTGGTGTCTGCATTAATTCTGTGTAGGGGAAGAACTCTTTCCATTTCGTCATGTAAAGAGAAGTGAAATAGGAAGAACATGATGAAAGGATTAGGCTGCAAAAGAAGTTGGCATCATTTCAAACCAAAGCAGTTAGCCCTTGAAGTACAAATACAGCACAGATGCATAACGATGATAACTACCTTTCCTGTCTCTGGTATAGTTCAGTCTTCTCGTGGAACACAAAACTGCAACAGTAACAACAAAGTAAGAATGGTTATCTGCAATGGATGGCACTAAATAATGATCATCCGCAAGGAATGTTTGTTTAAATATATGTTAATATTTCCGGATATTGTATGCTTTACTTATACTTTTCATTAATCTTCTCATGGGCTAACTTCTGTTCATGAGATGAAACTTTACCATTCAAAACATATATTTTGTTTTCTTACAGTAGTTTTTATCAGTTCTTTAACTCCATGAACTCTATGGACAGTTATTTGAAGAAGTATAACATACCTATACCCATTGTTAAAACCATATCCAAAGACAATGTCAGCGTATTGCTCCATCATCAAAGATGCAGATTTATTCATCAGCCTTAGTGCAGTCTCGTCATTTGGCATGTCAAATGAATGAATTGTTGAGAATCTGAGAAGGGGGTGGGGGGATGAAGCAACCCAGTTAATAAGGCAATCAAGCTAATACTAAAGAGAACCAGCATGCTTTTGATATATAAAAAGAAGAGGGATCCTTACTGATCAAATTGGCAAGCATTGATGCGAACAACGATCCAATTACAAGGTGAAAGAATGCGGTTGATGCCAAACTTCTTTACAAACCCATGCGTAAATTTTCCTGCCCCCAAACACAACAATTAAGTTAATGATATATATACACTAGTAGCTTGATCTGTATTCTGTAGTTGAAAGGATAGCTGAACAATTCAATCCGACCTTCTCGAAGAATGTGTTGATGATTTTCCCAAAACTCAGGCCCTATGATATCAACATGTGCCACTGTAACTTTCAATCTTGGTCTTTTTATGGGATCCCCATAGTCACCGATCTTCACTGTTGTTTCTACCTACAGTTATGCACAGTACATTATAAGGAAGACGTTATTTTGGATGACTGACAACATTTGTAGCATCACCTTCTCTCGGTAAACACTAGATCCTTTGCGGAACATAGCCGGTTCATCATCATAGTTTATTTGGAATTGTTGAGCAAGCAGCTCATTCTTGTCCTTTGCAAATGTTCCCTAGAAGAATAAAACTTCAATTAAAACACTTATACAATTGCAAACAGAAAGGTCATCAACTCAAGAAAAGTAATACTACCTTCAAAGCTAGCTGAGCCTCTTGTTCACTTTTTCCAGACTTCACCAACATCCAGAAGCAGGTATTGTACTGATTATTTATATGTCCTAAAAGGCACCAGCAAAGAATGCGCATATCAGTCAACTAATCGAATTATTGTTCAATCTGATGCGTACATAGATCACTATTTTCTTTTTATGTTAACGAAGCTTCATGGCTTGTACAACTTTGGTGGAATGGTGCAGTTTGTTAGCTAATTTACTGCCACCTTGTGTGAACACAGCAGAAAAAGGCGGCGCCGACTTAGCCGCCTGCTGTGTGTGAACACAGCAAGGGAAGGCGGCGCCGACTTTGCCCCCTGCTGTGATACAGTAGCCGCTGCAGGTGCAGGCGCCGCACGGCTCACCTGCAGCACTGTAGGAACAGGCAGTGGCCGGCGCAGAGTCAGCCCTGTCAGGTTATCTAGTTACTGTGCCAGCATGGACGCTGCACATGGACTAGATAGTTAGAGTTGTATAAATAGACATGTATGGCAACTCAGTAAAGAGAGCTCAGATTTGCCATCACACAGACAGGGCCTCGGCCAACGTTGTTGTCTTGTATTGTGCGTGCTTGCTCTGTTCTCCCTTCTTCTCCCAACTTCGTCCGTAGTGTGTGGGTACGGACAACGCCGGTACGTGGTCTGCACGGCTAGTGGGTGCTCGGCAACACTAGCGCGTGCTCGGCGAGACCGTCAAGTGCTCCACTCGCCTGAGCCGGTGCTCGGCAAGATCGGCTGGAGTGGTTCACTGTCGTGAGCCGGTGATCCTGTGAGACCAACGGAGTTGTCTGGAGGCCATCTCGGTGGTCGGGAGGCTAACTGTGGGCCAACAAGTGGTATCGGAGCCATACAAGCGCCGTCGTCATTCTAACCGATGGCGATGACAGGCGGTTCGGAGTTGGGCGACGGTAGTGGCACTGTCGTGGGTACCCAGCCACTACCGGATGTAGTTGTTCGCACGGTGCAGGAGGTCAGCAGCACCACTTGGCCGACGCTGACTCGCACTAACTATAGAGAGTGGTCGGTGACCATGAAGGTCAAACTCAGAGCCCGACGGCTCTGGAATGTTGTTGACAAGGGCACCGACGTGGAAGAAGACGACATGTCAGCGTTGGAGGCTATCCTCGCTGCTGTACCGGCGGAGTACAGGGAACCGTTGGGGATGAAAGGCTCAGCTAAGTAGGCGTGGGAGGCCATTGCGGCGATGCGCGTCGGTTCCGACCGCGCAAAGAAGGCGACGGCCCAGCTTCTGAAGTAGGAGTACGCAAACCTCAAGTTCAAGGATGGTGAAATAGTGGAGGACTTTTCCCTCCGCCTGCAGACGCTCATCAGCAAGCTGAAGAGCCACGACGTCACCATCGACGAAGAGGAGGCGGTCTCCAAGTTCCTCCACTCCGCGTCGGCAAAGTACATCCAGATCGCTCTCTCCATAGAGACGATGCTGGACTTGTCCACCCTCACCATTGAGGATGTGGCAGGCCGTCTGCGCGGCGGGTGGACGAATACTGGGGCAAAGGCGACAACAACGGCGGGCAGCGGGAAACTCCTGCTGACGGAAGAGGAGTGGGTTGCTCGGCGAAACTCCGGGGAGGCAGCCTCCTCCAGTCGCGGTGGCAAGGGCAAGCACCGAGACAGGGCTTCTTCGGAGAAGAAGCACATCGACTCCAACGCCTGCCGGTGTTGTGGGAAGATGGGCCATTGGGCACGGGAGTGCCCAAATCGCAAGAAGGAGAAGAAGGCTCGAGCTCACCGGCGAAAAGCCGATGATGAGGATGAGGCCACTATCCTTATGGCGACGTTTACGCAATCGCATTTACGCCGAGGCCATGGAGAGGGAAGAGGCGACGACGGTGGAAGGACCTGGGAAGGCCCTGAAGATCGTCAACCTCGACGAACCACGTGCCCAAGTCCATCTTGGGCGTGTGGGCGCGCCGACCGTGAGCAGCGGTGGTATCTCGACTCTCGTGCCGGTAACCACATGACGGGCTCCAAGGACTCCTTCTCCCGAGCTCGACGGGCGATGTTACCGCAGACTGATGAAGTTTGGTGACGGCTCAAGGGTGGCTATCCAAGGGCGCGGCACCATCATCTTCGATGCCGAACGGGAGCACCACGCCGCTAACGGATGTATACTACATCCCGCAGCATGCGTTCTAGCATCATCAGCATTGGTCAGCTGGATGAGCGCGGTAGCGAGGTTCTGATCAAGAACGGCATTCTGAGGATCAGAGACCGGGAGCAGCGACTTCTCGCCAAGGTGAAGAGGTCCCTGAACTAGTTGTACCTGCTCGACCTAAAGGTAGAGCAGCCGGTTTGCCTGGCGGCAAGGCACTCCGAGGAACCGTGGATGTGGCATGCCCGGTTCGGACATCTCAGCTTTGACGCGCTTGGTCAGCTTGGGAAGATGGTCCGAGGGCTACCCCACATCAAACACGGAGGCGAGCTGTGTGACAGCTGCCTGGCCAAGAAGCAGAGGAGGCTACCTTTCCCAAAGACGGCCAAGTATCGCACGAAGGAAGCTCTCGAGCTAGTTCACGGTGACCTCTACGGGCCGATCACGCCTGCTACATGCGGTGGTCGGCGGTACTTCCTCCTACTCATGGACGATTGCAGTCGCTACATGTGGCTACAACTCCTGACGAGCAAGGACGAAGCGACGGTGGCGATCAAGAAGTTCAAGACACACGCGGAGGCCGAGAGCGGCAAGAAGCTCCGCGTACTAAGGACTGATCGGGGTGGTGAATTCACTTCGGTAGAGTTTGCTACGTACTGCGTGGATCAGGGTGTGGGACAACATCACACCGCGCCGTACTCGCCACAACAGAATGGCGTGGTGGAGCGACGGAACCAGACAGTGCTCGGCATGGCCCGATCCATGATGAAGGCCAAAGGGATGCCGGCAAAATTCTAGGGAGAGGTGGTGACCACGGCGGTGTTCATCCTCAACCACGCTCCAACCAAGGCCCTAACAGGCAAGATGTCGTTCGAAGCTTGGTACGGGAGCAAGCCGAACGTGTCATTCCTCCGGACATTCGGTTGCATCGGCCACGTCAGGAAGACGAAGCCGAACCTCACCAAGCTAGAGGACAGGAGCACACCCATGGTGTTCCTGGGCTACGCGGAGGGTACCAAGGCGTACCAGCTCTATGACCCACGCAGAGACAAGGTGACTGTCTCGGGTGACGTTGTGTTCAACGAGGAGGCGGCTTGGGACTGGAATAGTCCGAGCACGGGGGAAGCAGGAGGCTTCCCCAACACCTTCGTCGTCGAGCACTTGGTCATCCACGGCGGTGGAGACGCTGCGGAACAGGTGTCACGCACTTCGGGAGGAGCGCCGAGCACTCCGGCGGTAGAGTCGAGCACTTCTAGGGCAGTGCCGAGCACTTCAGGAGGGATGCCGAGCACTCCGGGAGGAGTGTCGAGCACTTTTGGAGGGATGCCGAGCACGCCAGGAGTGGAGCCAGGAGGTTCTGCAGTGGTGGTGACCACTTCAGGACGGGTGCCGAGCACTCCCGTGGCAGAGCCAAGACGTCTTACTGTGGTCCCAACCACTTCAAGACTAAGGCTAGGCACTCCTACAGTGTGGCCGAACACTGCAGGAGTTATGACGAGCAGTCCAGAAGCAGCGTCGAGCACTTCTGGTGCTATGCAGGGCACTCCGGCGGAAGAAGGAACTCCATCACTCCCGATCAAGTTCACCTCACCTACAAGTGACATCACTGAGTTCGTGGACGCCTACCACGAAGGTGAGGAGTTGAGGTTCTGCAGGCTGGACGACATCGTCGGCGGCACAGGTCCCTCAGGTCTGGCGGGTAGGCTGCTCAACGACGCAGAGCTGCTACTCGTCAGCGCAGAGGAACCACCCACGTTCGCGCTAGCCGAGCGCGATGGAAACTGGCGACGGGCGATGCTGGAGGAGATGAAGGCGATCGAGGAAAACAAGACTTGGCAGCTCGTCGATCCACCTCTAGGATGCCGTCCGATCAGCCTGAAGTGGGTGTACAAAGTCAAAAGGGACGAGCTCGGCACCATTGTCAAGCACAAGGCGCGCCTCGTCGCCCGAGGCTTTGTCCATCACGAGGGCATCGACTTCGAGGAGGTCTTTGCGCCAGTAGCGCGCATGGAGTCGGTCCATTTGCTACTTGCTTTGGCGGCAGCAAAGCACTGGCGCGTCCATCACTTGGACGTTAAATCGGCCTTCCTCAACGGCGAGCTGGCGGAAACGGTCTTCGTCAGGCAACCTCTAGGGTTCGCTGTCAAGGGAGAGGAGCACAGGGTGCTCCGACTGCGCAAAGCGCTCTACGGGCTGCGGCAAGCCCCTCGAGCATGGAACGCCAAGCTTGACGCCACGCTGGGCGAACTTGGGTTTCAAAGGTGCGCAACCGAGCACGTGCTCTACACGCGACGACGGGGGAAGGAAGAGCTCGTGGTTGGCGTGTATGTGGATGACTTAATCGTCACCGGCGCGCGCATGGAGGATATCAGCAGCTTCAAGCGAGAGATGGTAGCTCATTTTCGAATGACCGATCTCGGCGCTCTCTCCTACTACCTCAGCATCGAGGTGAGACAGGGGAAGGAGGAACTCATGCTCGGGCAAAGCTCGTATGCCTCCAAGCTGTTGGAGAGGAGCGGCATGGTGGAGTGCAAGCCATGCGTGACTCTGATGGAGGAGCAGCTGAAACTGACGAAGGCCAGCACTGCGGCGAAGGTGGATGCAACACTCTACCGGAGCATTGTCGGCGGTCTGCGCTATCTAGTCCACACGAGGCCGGACATTGCGTTCGCCGTGGGCTACGTCAGTCGCTTCATGGAGGATCCCAGAGAGGATCACTGGGCTGCGGTGAAGCGGCTACTACGCTACGTCAAGGGGACGGTGAATCATGGAATCATCTTCCTAAACACCGACGGGAGTAGGCTGCAGCTCACGGTATTCAGCGATGCGACATGGCGGGGACATCGACGGACGACGGAGAGCACCTCGGCGTGTTTCGCCTTCCTCGGGTCAGCCCCAATTTCATGGTCGTCGCTGAAATGTAAGATGGTGGCGCTTATCTACGCACTACGGAAAACCGGCCTTTCCCGAGAGCCTAAAAAT